CTTTCTTTCTTTCAGGTGCGGTAGTAATACTGTCTTGTCTTATTTCACATACGACACTCACGTGATAGCTGGTTTAGTGATGAAAGAAAGCAGGCTGATTGTCCAAGAACACCACAGATCAGGTTCAGGAAGCACGAGCCTTTTTGTTAATCTGAAGGGAGGGTCCTCGTGGAGATGAGGTTGAACGACACGCCGTTCTCCTCGAGACGCTTCTGGAGATCTGTGGGGCCGAAGACGACGCCCGGCGTGTACACCCCGCCTTTCGGCAGATTGGCTCGCTGGCTCAGCAGGACGAGGGCGCACTGGACGAGGACGATCGGAGTGGTGATATACCCGATCTCTGGCCCTGAAACTCTGGTGACCATCTCCATGTCTGGCTTGGTTCCACGCTCTGATGCACGGGCCAAATCGCTGTACCCATGGCCGACGAACCACAGTTTGAATGAGGCGCTGTTCACCTCCTCTTCTGTTGGTCCAGTCTTTCTACACAACCCAAGGGAGAAGAACTCGGGGAATTTTAGCAAGAGGGACCTACCCAAGGAGAAACCCCCAAGGATGCCGATGAAAAGTCCAGTATACAGCCACCGCACAAGGCCCAGGATGGAACGGGTGCCAATCTTCACACCGAAATGTGCAGGTTTGATAGAGGACCAGAATTCCTTCCTGCGGTCCACAAATTCTGAGGTTTCATCCACACCAGGAAGGCCCTCGGGATGCTCTGTCACTTTTGCTAGGGTTCTCTTCACAACCACTGTGTCAGCAGAAGGTAACTTCACCACCCACAATCCTAGTGCCTTGTCATGCTCAATCAGTGATCCTTTGGGAGGTGCAGGCCCCGGAATCTACCCAGAAGGAGAAACCTTAGCATGAAATGATCATTCTCCAATAAAAGTTTGATTCCATCATAGTTTCGCCAATTCATCATCAGTTCATCACACATTGGATTCACAGAATCAAAGGCTTTAACAAATGTGGTGGACATTTTCATTAGGATCTTTATACTATGACTTACTAAAAAACATATAAGAATATTGAATATTCTGTATGCCATGTCCAATCTATCACAACAAAGATGGGGGCGGCTAGAAATAATGGGCCTAAGTTGAATTCAGATTGTGGCATTGCCGAAGCCAACCCATTTTGCTTTGTCTTTATAAAACATTCAGCCACACAAAAATTTGTGTGGGCATCGGTATTTAGATCAACCACACAAAATTTACATCCAATCCAAACGGGCCCCAAATCAAAGAATGAATCCATTATTAAGGGCAAGCAAGGCAAACGTGGAGTGTATTACTACCAACAAAATGGCAAAGGGGTAATATTACCCACTTAGAAATACCCATTCTTCATGAAGTAGCAGCGTAGCACATACATTTACACAACAAAAGGCATGGCAGACACCATTCACATGTGAGAGGACCAATGTTAATCTGAGCTTAAGCATTATTCAGTAGTTAGTAGTTGGTCCACGATATATGTCAGCTTGATTTTATAGTCCTTCTTGGAGCAGGCAGTTAGCACAACATACACGGCTGAACAAAAGAATTACGTACAAAATTTTGACGCCTTCAAACAAAGGTGATGGTCAGGGGTAGGCAATCTATAATTTCTAAGAAAATAAAGAAACAGAACTATACCAGGTTGTACACAAGTACGCAAACACCATATATAACCCAGACATCAGCAGTAAGGCGGCGGTCAGGAGTAGGCAACAATTTTCTTGCAAGAAAATAAAAAACCAAAAGTTACTATACCAGGTTTGTCCACAACCATGAGTGCCTGTAGACCATACGTACCCCAGGCATTAGCAGTAGTGTATGATGATAAAAGACAAGCAACTAGATTTGTGTCTTCCCTATCGTCTGTAAGTCTCTATCTAGTCTATAACCGTCCGCCTTCTTAGTTATATAATAAAAAACTATGTCACACATATTCTGTCCTATCTCGACCTGCATCAATAACTTTTAGATTGGATTTTCTAGTGCTAGTAGTACACCATACCAGCACACGTAGTACATACTCCCTCCGTCCCAAAATAAGTGTCGCGGACTTAGTACAACTCAATGGAGGGAGTACATCTTTGTAGGTGGTCCAAAATTGGCACTTAGAAAGAAAATCCAAATGTTCTGAGAGACAGATAACTGGATTTTATAATAAAGAAAGTGCCAGTTTTATGATAACTAACAGAGCAATGCTATTCCTACGCACAGATTATACAAAAAAACATTACGTTCTGGTTCAATCTGCCGATGGTTAGCTATAACCGTGGGGTAGTTACAATTCAAAAAGAACTAGTACGTACAGTTTTCGCAAAAGTCTTGTGTAGAAATAGGATTTTCGTAGGTGCAAAGACAAGGATCAGGGATCTGGCCCAACAAAGCTATCAATTAGCAGTGTTACGGTATGTTCGTTCATCATGAAAGTCAGGATAAGGAAAGACATAATTCCTCCTTCTAATTGAATTTATTAGTTTCTACGGGTTTGCTAAAGCACATCTAGATGTGCCATAAGTATTGCACATATAAGTTCTATGTCATTGATTGTACGCGGAGATTTGTGCGGGTATTTTCTCTTTTCTTTTTCCTTCTCTTTTTATGTTGATAGAGTCACTTAGATGTGCACTAACTAGAGCACATCTAGATGTGCCCCAGCTTCTAGTTTCATCCCTATGATGGGGTACTGTTAATCCCCTCATGAATCACTACCATCCAAGCAGATTGCTGTGATGAAATAAGTAAATCAATTCCGAAACTGCAATGTAAGAAATGTAGTAACTCACCTTGGGCTTTGCCGGCCTTGGCCTGGACCGGCGCAGTGCCTGCAGCTCGCTGGCGTTGGCCACGCCGAGAACGGCCGACTGAAACGTGCCGAAGTTCCCGACGATCTTCCTGTCCGACTCCAGGTTGACGTAGGCGACCACGCTCAGCGGCGCGGAGGGCGGCTTCCACTGCCTGGAGTTGAACAAGAACCCGAGCTCCGCGGGGATGGAGTCAAACCCGCAGGCGGAGACAATCAGCGACCCGTTCCTGGCGGCGACCTCGTGGAGGTCGGCCTCGACGCGCTCCATGAACTCGGGCTCGCCGGAGATGTCGAGGCAGTCGGCCCCCGCCTCGGCGCAGGCCGCGGCCACCTGGCGGCCGTGGAGGCGGAAGGGCCCAGCGCAGGAGAGCAGGACGCGCGCCCGCGCGGCGACCGCGGCGAGGGAGGCCGGGTCGGAGGCGTCGGCGAAGAGGATGGGGACGTCGGGGGCGGGCCCCGGCGCGGCCGCCCAGCGAAGCGCGGCGGCGACGCGGTCCCGGCTACGGCCGGCGAGCGCGAGGGTGCGGAGTGGGGAGGAGTTGGGGGGCAGGAACTTGAGCGCCTCGCGGATGACGTACTTGCCGGTGAAGCCCGAGGCCCCGAAGATGACGACGTCGAACACCTCCGGCCCCGGCGGCACCGGCGCCGCCATGGGAGAGGGGGTTTGGGCTCTCGCTCGGGTGCGGCGCGTTGGAGTTGGACTGAGAACTGGTGCGAGGCGGCTTGGCTTGGCTTCTCCTGCTCGGTGCGACCGCTTTTGACGTTGCTGTGGGAAGGGACGCCGTCACGTTTTCAAGCCTGATCTCGCAGCGTTTTGTTGTGCGTAGCTTGCAGGTAGGTGGCTGTTCGCTGCTGGTAATTTGCATGCAATGCGCAGTTGGTTTGCTAGCAGGTGTGGAGCTCGGTCTGAAAAAAAGCAGGTGTGGTGTTGCTCGAGCATCAGTCACAGTAAGAATATTAGCCCAACTCCATCGCACGACCCCAAATAAACGTCCGCTTCTGTCTTTTGGACGTCCGTTAGAGTGCGATTTGGCGGACGTCCACCTCCGGACAAGCGCTTGGAGCATCCGCGCCCAACGTGTACGAGCCGTCCTGACCTCAAATGGATACGCCCCGTCCCGATCTCCTCCGCCCCGTGCCGAGCTTCTCCGCCTCGTCGCCGTTCCGCCCCGCCCTCATCAGCTCCTTCGTCGCGGCCGCTCTGCCCCGCCTCGCCGCTGCCGCGCCAGCGTAGCAGCTCGCCGCCGTCGCCCCGACCCACCTCGCCGGCACCCTGAGTCGCGCCCTCGCCGGTCCTGGTTGCATCTCCAGCTGTGGCCCGTTCATGGGCTGCCGTCCCGTCGCCCTCCAGCGCGGGGCGCGTCCAGGGGAGCGTGGCGATGTGCAGGGCCGCGTGAAATGCGCGTCCCCACCCCAAGCTCCTCTGCCTCGCCGCCGTCCCGCCCCGTCCTCAGCTCCTCCGTCGTGGCCGCCCCGCCACCCCTCGCCGCTGCGGCGTCACGCCTGCGCAGCCACGCCACGGAGCTGGTGCTAGCACGCCGCTGCGCACGCGCTAGTTTAGCTAGCTAGCTACCACCCAGCTGCTGATGCACACGCACTAGTATTAGCTAGCTAGCTAACTAGCATCCAGCTTCTGTTGCGCGCGGCGGCGGGCGCGGGGCGGGCGACTGCGGACGTGGCGGCGGGCGACGGCGGACATAGCGGCGGGCACGGGGCGCGTAGTGGCGGATGCGGCGGCGGCGGGCGGCGGGCAGCCGACGGGGGAGCAACAAGAGCAACAAGGTCGCGAGTGGCTCGGTGTGGGTCGCTGACCTGTGGGCCAGTGGTGGACATGAGCAGACGAGAGGAAGCGAGGAGATCGTCCGTTTTTGTCCGTCCAGGCACATTCATGGCCCAAGTTTGGTCTGAATTTAGGGTCAGGCTGGACTGAAAAGGACGCTAATGGACAACTTTGTCCGTTTGGGTGCTCCCGTTAGACCATGTTTTATCCCAAACGAACAACTCTGGACGATTTGAGGTCGTGTGGTGGAGTTGGCCTTATAGGTAGGCATGAAACTATAAATCACGAGTGGACATGGTACCACGCGAGGGTGGTATCACACCCGTCTGTTGTGTGTGATGCAGGTCATATGCATATCACTTGTCGGGTATGTGCATTTTACAGTTTGAAGTATTCCTAATAGAAGTTGTATTCCCAATAGCAATAGTGACCATAGCCGACGAGGCTGACAAGAGCAATCCATCTATACACAGAGGGTGGCTAACGCATGCACCACCGGTTTAAATGCAACATGCAGACCATCCCGCGTCTCCTCTTTCACTTATCCCGCTTCTCTGTTCTTGCGACTTTGTTCATGTGCATGGCTACTGCTCCATGAAGATGTGGAGCTCCCTCTGGAAAAAATTCCCCACCCCAGCTCATAGCTCCTCCCATCTTCCCCTTAGCCATTTCTCTTGTTCTTGTGCTTGAGCAACCTTATGGCGTTGTGCATAGTGCACAACGGTGAAGATAGACTAATTTTCTCTGTAGGATGATCCAGCTCTTCTCATTTAGCTTGTCATCCAATTAGTATTTCCCTTAAGTTCCGCCCTATGTGTGCTAAGTAGTACTCCCTCTGTAAACTAATATAAGAGCGTTTAGAATACTAAAATAGTGATCTAAACGCTCTTATATTAGTTTACAGAGGAAGTAATTATCACTTAGTTACCGACGATGTCATCAGTTAGATATAACCCATTATTAATGGCAAACAATATTTTCTTCCAATCCTGGATTACGGTGTCCAGTATGCTCACTAATACCTAGAGTGCTAAATCTATGGGGGTGTTTGTTTTCAGTGACTTTTTTGTGTAGGGACTAGAAAAAATCCTTTTTAGAGACTTTTTTACCAAAGGGGAGGGACTTTTTAGGGACTAAACTAGGCATTTGGGACTAAGGGGGTGTTTGTTTACAGGGACTTTTTTGTGTAGGGACTAGAAAAAGTCTCTCTTAGAGACTTTTTTACCAAATGGGAGGGACTTTTTAGGGACTAAACTAGACATTTGAGACTAAATGAAGAAGACTCTCAAGGAGAGTCTTTTTGAGACTTTTTGGGACTTTTCCAACAATGCCCCTCCATGCACCCATTGGCCCGCCACCCCATGGTATTGTTTGATTGTTATTTTTTTATATACTAGGGGCAACATGGTCATTTAATAACCTCTAGGGAGGGACTAGAGACTTTTTAGTATATGGAAACAAACAGGGAGTGACTTTTTAGGGACTAGGGACTTTTTAATTGGGACTAGAAAAAGTCCTAGGACTAAAGAACCAAACACCACCTAAATGAAGAAGACTCTCAAGATGAGTTTTTTTAGACTTTTTGGGACTTTTCCAACAATGCCCCTTTATGCATTCATTGGCCCGCCACCCCATGATGTTGTTTGATTGTTATTTCTCTATATACTAGGGGCAACATGGTCATTTAATAATCTCTAGGAAGGGACTAGGGACTTTTTAGTCTTTGGAAACAAACAGGGAGGGACTTTTTAGGGACTAGAGACTTTTTAGTTGGGACTAGAAAAAGTCCTAGCACTTATGAACCAAACAGGGCCTATATCTATACTACCTCCGTTTCAGTTTACAAGTCCTGCGCGTATACCTAGGTTGCCAATTTTATGACCCTAATATAAACTATATAACACAAAAATTATATCTTTTGAAAGTAGAAACTCCAAAGTTTATGTTGGTATATTTTTTGTAATATATGACTTGTATTAGGTTGGTCAAATTGACGATCTAGGGGCACGCGCACACCCTGTAAACTGAGAGAGAGGTAGTATCTATTATTAAAGGAAGGTGATATTCTTGATTTCGTCCCGTTTCATTTGGTCCCGCTTCAATTAATTTCTGGTAGGCTATTTGGTTTCATTACTTGCCATCCGTTTTGGCCTAACGGAGGAAGCCCATCTGACGATGCACTATGGCCCATGTCCAGAGAAAAATAAAATTGTCAATGAGAGGGTTCGATCTCATAACCTGTCAACCGGGGACACACAATTTTTCCAACTGACCTAGCTAGAGATATGAGTGGATTTTTTTTCTTCCGTTGCAACTTACGGGCTTTTTTGCTAGTAGCAAAAATAAAATAAAGTAACTCATATAGATTAAAATAGGCTATTTGAATCAGGAATAGCTACTCTACGACATGAATCAATTGGCATGATGTGAGGAGGCAACAGTAGATTGATGCTTGATTCGTTCATATCTAACAATGGGCGGTTGGAACTTACTAGGAATAGCTCCCCAGAAGAGATTCACATAATAGAACATGGAGCGGCTTATTATGCCTAGCAGATCAGATGCCGGACTTAGAAAATGCACTTAGACGAGTGCTATTTATTGCTTGGCTTCCCGTTGCCAGGTTCGGATCCCTTAGACCGAACAAAACATTGTCCGGCGAATAACTCCACCAATTAAATGGTGCAGTGCATGCTGTTGGTGAATTAACATTTTTGCCATTGCACTGAAAATGCATGCAATCTCCTTTATGGTTGACATTTCAAATGGAAATTATAATTAGTTGAGCATAAAAACTTGTATGAATTGGATTGCTTCATCATTGATGCACATGACGGTAATATACAATATTTAGATATAACTGCTTGTTTTAGGAGATGATTAACTGGCCAGTGCAACATGGGGCAGCTAATGACCCTAGAGCTTGGATCATGAGATGGACTAGCAGAGTCACTCCGGAAGAGGATGAATGGAAGGGGTGGACGACATCAGGAGGAACTTTATCTTCAACGATAACATCTCTCACTGAATCTTGACAGTATCAGGGAACACCCAACTCCTCTCCTCACCATGTGCTACCTCCCTTTGTCACCCCCTCGCGCTCCTCTACTCGCTGCTCCACTAGCACACACACACGGAGAGAGAGAGAGAGAGAGAGAGAGAGAGAGAGAGAGAGGGAGAGAAGAGGTGAGATGAGACACATATCCTATCACATCTCTCCTAAAGTTGGGCAGCATTAATGCCAATTATGTTCTCTGGCTTGTTCCAAGTATTTACATCATGTATTTGCAAACTCTACGATTGCATATCCCCTCGTATTCAATTCATCACTATACTAAGTAAGCATCTCAAAGCTTCAATGGACTGCCTGAATATCATCCTCGCATGCCACCATGTCCCAAAAATTTGCCTCCGATATGGGAGTATTAAAAAGCTAAGGAACGAAGTAATTTAGTTGTTAAACAAAAAATGAGGAATGTTACCTAAAAAGCTAAGCATAAACGCATTGAAAGAGAACAGTTACTAAGCTTTTTAATACAATTAGCACATCATCTAAGCATTCATGCATTGAAAAAGGCCTGATACTGCCTACTATCAAGATTGGCAGTTGAACAAGATAAGGTAGGTATACCCGGGTCTCCTAGATTTTTCCATTATCTTCTCTTCAAAGGGGTATTACGTTACCGTAGCCACATGTTCTTTTAGATTCAAACTTCTCTTCACCTTCATCAAGATTGACAGTCGACAATGTCACGCATGAACTTACCAAAGGTAGGAATTTTTAGTATATCAGTTAAATGCAAGAAACTTTAAGATCAACAACAACTTGTAGAAAGGAAGAGTAGAGTGCATCATTTGAAGGTGGTCTTACA